TTTTATCACGTCATCAAATGTTCGTTTTCAATGGACAAAGTCCAATCATTCAATTATTGTCTTTTTATATCGAATGTTTTCACTATCGGCCGTTGACACGATCACGCATTATATGCTTTTTGAATGACTTAATCGCATCAAATCCGTATTCATCACGAAAAAAACGGTTGAATCGCGAGCGAGCGAGCGTGATTTAGAGAAAGAGAGAAAGAAAGAGACCCATTGATCTTGCGACTCTATGCAATCGTTCACTAAATCGACCAATTACATAGAAACATGCACGATAAAAACCCGAAAATCTTTGGTTAATTTGACCCCATTAACAAATCTATTGGTCATGAATGGCTAATAAAATAAAATCAAATCAAATACAAAATAATCATTTAGTGAGAATCCACGATGATGAGCCAATGTCATTGCGCCGCGCTCTTTTGAACTGGATTGCTTTCTGATTCGGAATTGATTTGTTTCCAATATTATGATTATTACTTTTTTTAATGTTTCTTTTCATCTCACACCTTCTTCTGTCCTTCTCTTTCTCTCATCAATTCGTTTGACCGACGAAATCCGAAATATATGTAAATACAAAATATAATTCATTCAATTTGATAACACGAAGAAGAAAAAACCGACGAAAGAATCAAAAACACCGAATGGACAACAAACTGAAGATTGAATGATCGTTTAATGTATTCATTGCCGGTTCCGAGCAAATCTCCACCATGAGCGTAGATATTCTTTTCTTTTCGGTTAAATTCCGAAGATCGTTATATTTTAATTGAGAAATGGATTGGTGACGACGTATCCAATGCCGATTAAATGAGCTTATTAAATATTAAAATACATTTTTTGTTCGATTGGAAAACGGTCAATCCGATCATTGTTACAAGACAAAGACAAAACATGTTTGAATCTTCTTTTTTTTCCGTTGTCGTTGGTCGCAGTGACAGCGAATAAATTGTCCCGGTTAATCGGATGTCATTAGAAGTTCAATTCTTGATTTACTGGTTGCTGCTCGAAACCAAGGCATCTTGAAAATGGATATCATTCGTAAAACACGAATGAAATGAGAAAAAAAAGAGGAAGAAAAACGTTCATTAAAAAAGAAATTTCCATCGAGAGATGATATAATTGATGCCGGCGTTATTGTACTCAACCTACAACATTCTAACTAAATAAACATACGAAATGCTTTAGTTCCGATAACATTTCGCCTCTTCCTTCGTGCGCAAGCGCACGCTCGTACACTCATTTTATCATTCGACACATTTTACATTTTTATTGTGGCCCATAGGCTTCTTCACTTCTCCGCGTTTGTTTTTTGTGTTCTTTATCTGCTTGCTTTTGCAACATTGTTGCAAACGAACAGATTCTTCTTCGTTGTATTTTTTGTGTTCTTTTTTTCTTCTTCTTCTCAGAGCATCTCTTTGAAATGATCATATTTATGCATTGGCAAGACCATCCCATGCAAATGAGTACGAACAAAACACACTTACTCAACAGAATTGTGTTGGTTTAACAGCAAAATTGAATTAACCACAATTTCAACACTTAAATTAGTAAAACCTTTTTTGCGTACGCGCGCGCGCGATCTGCTCGCTCTGCTCTCACCATAGAAAATCGCTCGTCCATTCAGCATCGTTTAAACATTTAACGAAGAGAGAAGAATTTGTGAAAGATTGAAAAAGATATTCGTCTTGTTCATCGTACAATGTGGGTCGGTTTAGTCAATTCATCGTTTTATGGTCGCTTCCACTCGATTGCGTTTAGAATTTCAAGAAATGAATGGAACCATTGGATTCCATCGCTTTTGGTTCAATGTTCGTCTCCACTTTCGAACACAACAATGAAACAACTTCAACCTCCGCCTTTTTTTTTCTTCGTCTTAGCATAATTGATTAAATTGAAAGTCGTAACTGTGCAGAAAATTAGTGGAAATTTATATTCTGAAGAAAAGGAAAAAAAAACATAGTGAAAAAAATTAAAAAAAAGAGAAACAAACGATTGAAGTGTGTGTGAGTTTAGCATTCAAATGAGAATGATGTTATATCCTGAAGAACATTTCTGGACGGTGCCAACATTTCACGGTTTATACGACGATAACGATTACAACGGTAAGAGTTTTTTTTCCTTTGCTTTTGTTCTGCTCGTTTTTTAATGGGACGACCGAGTGTCAGTAGTAAGCCGTAGGATCGTTTTTTTTGTTCTCCTCTCTTTTGCGTTGTTGACAATTTACACTCTGTTTTGAACATCATTTTTTTTTGGAACGATGGTTGAATTTTAAAGAGGATTGGGATGCGCAGACAATTAATATGTTGCGGTGAAGTGAAATTTTCGCAAGCATGCGACAGTGAAATGCACATGATTTATAATTGAATCAATAAACTTTTATGCATTTCATATTCTATGAAAAATCGCTTGGTCGTCGTCGTCTCTCGGTGTTGTCGTTTTTTTTCGCTCCTCGAACAAAATTTTATGACTGGCATGTAAATTGAAATTCAATCACCGTGAAACCATACACGGAAGAAAGCATATTAAAATAAATCATAAAATTTTATTGGCCACAGAGAGTGCGGGCCCCAAAACGAATTTCATTTAATCATAAAGACTCTGTTTTTTTTTTCTGCCCTTCTTCTTGTTGTCGTGCATTGTTGTTGTTGTAAGTGGGTGATTCCGATGATTTAAGTAATTCGTTTCTGACCTATTTTGTTTTACCTGTGGCTTTATTTTTTATGTGGCTCTCTTTCTCTCCCTGCATTCGTGTGTGTGTGTGTGTGTGTTCGTTTTTTTCTCTCCTCCGTTTCTTTGTTTCGGTTATTTATCTTGTGCTCATCTGCGATTGTGTTGGTTCATCTTTGTTCATCGACCACTAGATGATTTGTATTATGTTTAAGAAAGACGATGAAAAAAAAACAGAATCGAAGCGCCGCAAGGTATTTATTCTTTCTTAACTGCGTTTCATATCTTGATTGTGCGAGCTGCACATATTATACGTAAATGTCCACAATTTATATATATTTTTTTTTCGGGCATCTCCCTGATATGTATACACACATGGAAAAATTTACATCTCTTTTTTTCTCGCTTCAAATTTGGATTTCGGGTTTGGTTCCGTGTATGGGATTCTGTCGATCCGGACCAAAATGTAATAATAAAATTTAATATTGCTTCGATTACTCACTCTCAGCTAATTTTGGTTTCATGTTTCATTTTTTTTCTTTCGTTTCTTCGTTCCGTTGTTGTACCTCTTTTGTCTTTCTCATTCGATCGATACAATGTTGGTGATCTGTTATGTTGTTTTTCTCTTCCCGAATGAAGAAAAACGCATTTTGCATAAAGCAAAATTTGATGTTCGTTGCTGTTGTTTGATTTTATTGGAAAATTTCATAAAATGTCATTTTTATGGCAAAAGTCATAACAACGGAATTTTGCCGTGTTCTCAATCTGTTTTGTTTGATTGAGTAGAGAACAGTGAATGGAGTGAGTTATAACTTTCATTGATCAGAGATAATATTTTTTTTATTAATCGATAATAATAAAAAATCGAAAAGCACACTGAAGAAAACAAAACTCATTTCCAGTGCGATAACATCGTAGTAAATTAACGAATTGTCATGAAAAGAAAGACGAGCTCGTTTCATGAATGAAAATTACGAGCACGACCGACCGACCGAACGAATGAACGGGCCAAAGTAATAAAACAATCCGCAGATAATTCGATTTTGAACATGAAGCGAATAAATCGTTTCATTCAATCTCAATTAAAATAGCGATGAACTCTTGGCATATCGACCACAACTCTTCAGGCCGAATCAACTTGTTTGCGTTTTTGACACCGCTTTAGGTAATCGATGCGCCGTCGTGGTCGTGTTTTATCGCTCTTCATCGCATATCGCTCATAAACCCAAAAAAAAAAACAGAGTAATGTTGCAAATTTTGCTCGAGTTTCGTGTGCTCACTGAAATTCGCTTCGCGATCTGTTGTTTTTTTTGCGCTTTGCCAGCGCGTCCAATCAAGTTCAATCTGCTCTGTTATTATGGTGCATTATTATTATAAATCACTTATGGACTTTGGCGTTTGTGCATGCCTCCGTTCATGCCATGCGAGATAAGCACGGTTAATGTGATGATGATAGCCGCTGTAATGTGCACAACACGTTTCTCAACCACATCTCGCACAGAAAGAGCTCATAATGGACCGGTGGGAGTGTAAAATGTAGTCAATAAAATGCATTGCGCGCTGCTTTTGAATGATTTTTCACTCTCTCTCTCTCTCTTTGCTTTTTTTCGTTGGTTTGATGCGCAGCACAACAATAATTCATGCAACGAAAATTTATATACGAAATGGATATGTTACCGGATTCGTGCGCCAAAACCCATCGCCCGAAACTATCGAATTGAGTTTTCACAATGTTTGTTTTTAACGCGTTGCATCTTTTTCGCACTCGCTCATTTTCTGGAAGGCACTCAAAAACTCAAATCGACATAATATAATGGTCAATACGTGTACTTAATGGGACGAACGCAAGGCATTTTGTAAATAAATTGATTGAAAGCCTTTCAGTTATATTTTCACCGCAGATTAATTGATTCAGTGGCATACCACGCAACACCGTTTAACCTTTTCACCTTCGATGATTTTCCATTGTTATTCACCGCAAATGTAACGCCTGAACCATAACTAGCCGTGCAACTCACGTACACTACCGTTCTTTTCTCAAATGGCAGCTACAAACTGGAAATGTTTTGATTTTGCCCAATTTTTTAAAAGAATTCAACAATTTGAATTACCTAATAGATTGATGATTTGATGATCGATTTTTTTTCTCTTCAATTTTATCATTTATTTTTAGTCTCATCAATTCTCTCCTAGATTTTATATCTTCCATGCATTACTTCAGATATTTTTCAATTTTATTTTATTTTCCGCTTGCATTTTCTAATTTATATAATTGATGTTCTAATTGTGCATTTCAAACATCTTTTTATTTTCCTTTAAAGTGAACGTCGTCGAAGCACTTCAGGAATTTTGGCAGATGAAACAAGCGCGTGGCGCTGATTTGAAAAACGGTGCCATTGTTATCTACGAATCAGTTCCATCGAATAGCCAGCCGTACATTTGTTACGTCACTTTGCCCGGAGGCAGTTGTTTTGGTAGCTTTCAGGTAAGTCATTCATTGAATTAACACTTTGAAAATTCATTAGATTTTCATTGAGAATTTGAGTAGTTTTCCGTTAAATATTTTCACATAGTGAATAATTGTATGCAATGTCTTCAAGAAGATGTTCTATTTGATTGAATTATATTTTGATTAACCATCATTTCTCTTCTTTAGAATTGCCCAACAAAAGCTGAGGCACGGCGAAGTTCAGCCAAAATCGCCTTGATGAATTCCGTTTTCAACGAGCATCCTTCCAGACGCATCAGCGATGAGTTCATTGCAAAGGCCGTCCAAGAGGCGCGAGCATCTTTCAAATCGGAAAATAGTGAAGACGATGGACCAGACACTGGAATCGGCGCATTTAGGTACATTTTTCAATCGAAACATTTAAATTTGATGTTGAAATGATGACGGTCAGTGATTGTTCTAATCTATGTCGGTCGTTGATAATTCATCTTTCCACTGACCATCAATAAATTCCCGAAATTCAACTTCAAATGCCTAATTGAGCTTAAAATAATAATTCAAAAATTGATTACATGTAATAAACAAACTTTCTCTCCCTCCCCCCCAGATTCATGCTTGAAGCGAATAAAGGCCGTACAATGCTGGAATTCCAAGAATTGATGACAGTATTCCAGCTGCTCCATTGGAACGGATCGTTGAAAGCAATGCGAGAACGTCAATGCTCCCGACAAGAGGTGGTGGCCCACTATTCGAATCGCACTTTAGACGATGATATGCGTTCACAGATGGCACTCGATTGGATTGCACGTGAACAGGAGAGTCCGGGTGTGTTGAGCCGTGAACTTGCCCTGGCTGAACGTGAATTGGAAACGGCTCGTTTGGCTGGCAGAGAATTGCGTTTCCCAAAAGAAAAGAAAGACATTCTAATGTTGGCTCACAACCAATTGGGCAGTACAAATACGGTATTAAATAGCTAAATCCATTCACAGAAAACGCAATCGCAATGGCAATGGCATTACTTGAATCTCATTCAATTTAGTTTTCTAAGCGCAAACAAAAAAAAAACAAACAAACAAACAACACAGCACACAATACAAATCAATGATCGATCTTATATTCATGATGAATTTTGCATTTATAAATATTCTTCAATGTGTTTATAGTAATCAGGCCGAGAATTGCAAATGGATTTCCAAGTCCAATGTTTAGATACCGGAATAAGTTCTGTTTTTCCTGAAGGTTCTAACTATCAATTTCGGAAAGAAAGTGAGAAAAGCGAATTCGAATTCTTTTCGCGACCTTTAAAAAAACGATCAGTATGAAATTGTCCCACTAAAATGCATCTTCAGCTAAATCTCGAGCACTTGGAATTCACGAATGTTTTGGCAAATGGAATGAATTCAATGCGTTTTTAGTCATTTTCGAACTCTTGCCACACGTCTGATTGCAATGAAAGTTCGAAGTTCAAAATTAGCCATTTTAAAAATTGAAACGAAACATTTTTTTTCATCACGCAAAACAAGAGAATGTGATCATTTTTATTAAATATATTATACGTAGAAGACGGAGGAGAAGTAGGAGGAGGAGGAGAGCCAAGTGTACCTTCTCAGCGAGATGCGATGTTTGATTTTTATTAAGCGTTTTAATCATAATTCAATTTGAACAATTTTTTTGTCGTCATCATCGTCGTCGTAGATTTAGCATTTAACAAAAACATCCAACAAAATTCTTTTTTTTGCATTTCATTTTTGATGTTTAATTTTAAAAAAAAAATAACGAAAGCAACGAACGTATGAATCGAATCGTAACGGACACGATTCCAAAATGTTAATAAGAATATAGCGAATTGTGATTTTTTTCTCTTTCTCTTTAAAAAACGGAACAATCGATTTCGAAGAATTTTCTATCGTTTTACATATTTTTGCTCGTTACTTGTTTCTACATCGAATTTCGGTTGCATATATTTTCAAATTAGTCAATCACTTTTCAGTTTCAGCCTAATTTAAAAAAAAAACATTCATAGCTCTTGTCGTAGCATTTAAACAACGAAGAAAAGCATTTATTCAATTTTAAAACAAAACAATGTTAATCCGTATATGATAACAAAGAAAAAAAAAACAATTAAAATTAGCCTAACGAGTTGAGTGTGTAGTTGAAATGGAACTAACGAAATATGGACAATTGAAAAGAAGCGAAAATAAACATTTACATTTTATCTTATCATATGACTGAATGCATTTTTTGTGTCTTTCTCTTCATTGCTTTCCAACCTGCAGAATTCCAAATGGAATCATACTATTTTCAGTGGTGAAACCAGCGTAAGTTGATAATATATCGCCTTCGTTTTCGACGTCTTTTTTTCTATCGGAAAAATTCCGTTCCTCATCACATCTAAATTAAGAAATCAATTCATAAGAAGTATGCTTCTTAAATCCATAGATATTTTCTTTGTGTCTTTTGACGGACAATGACACAAATCGATATGAGCGTCGTTGAGCTAACTTCAAATTCGTCACGTTCGAATCTATTTTTGTTTCTTTGAACGATCAATTCTGCGAATGAAATCGTTGTAAAAGAACAAAGTGAAAGAATACTAAACAATTCCCGGGAACGGATTCATATATGAATGGTTTAGAGCGAAAATGTAATACAGAAAAGATGAGCGGAAAAATGTCGATGATGAATGAGCGGAAAAGGGATAGCTATATAGTAAACTCTATAGTAAACTATATAGCTATCCCATTTCATTTGACATTTTTCCGCTCAACTTTTCTGTATTACATTTTCGCTCCAAACCATTCATATAGCCTTGAAAATTAAGCAAAACAGAAGAAATGCTTCGCACTTCGATTTGCATAATTCTTTTTTCATATCCATTCATTTGTTATAATATTCATTGGGTTTATTTGTTCCTATTTGGCTTTTATGATGGTTATTCTTAGAAGAATTGTCATCATTCATTATCGTCTGCATAATTTTGTTAGCTATTCAATGAATTTAGCATTGTGTTCATAAGAAATACGTAGAATGGCACGAAATCGGAATCATTTCATGGTTCACGTCTCTCTTTCTATTGTTGCCTTCTCACCTTCTTATTCTATTCTGTCATACGTAAAATTGTTCAAAGCATACTTTAGCCATTCTTCGAAAATCCATTAGCCAACTGTCGTATCAGGAAGAGTGCGTCAGCAGTTGCTAACCGTAAGTAGATTGATAGAAGTGTGCCGACGCAGTAATTTTCCAATTTCGACCATGCCAAATGGTAAGTAGTGTCCTTTTTGTTGCACATTTCGAAATCGGAATTCAGTTTGGAGAATGTAATTGGGTTCTGTTTGCATTTGCAATTAGCGCTACCGCTTATCGCCAATTGGAGTCGCCAAATATCCGTCGAACTTTGGAAATAATTGCGTGTGTATCCGTTGTTGTCATCGTCATCATGTTTTTTTTTCCTCTTTCGAAACCATTTAGTGATGTGTAATTAAGTTAAGACATGCTGCAGTTAATATATTTTCGGCATGATTTGTTTTTGCCTTTGTCACATTCGCATAAAAATTTATTTGTGTTCGTTTTTCTTCGAATGTGATTAAAAAAAAGAGAAGTCGTCGTTGGATTGCATCATGTTGCGCGATAAATGGCCGAAAACAAGGCAAATGATAAAAATACAATTATTATACGGGTGTGCTCTGTACCGCCGAACGAAACAAAAAAAAAACAATGTCGAAAATTCGCGAGTGCAAACAAACTTTTCCACCGTCAATCACCATTTACGATCGTTCTCTCTCTCTCTTTGCCTGCATTGCTGTTCGTCAGGATTCCATCACACAATTTGCGCAACGAATATGTTATGCAGTTGATGTTTGTGTATATGCTCGGCCAAAATGCTCTTCGGTTGCATATTTTGACATGAGCACAATCACTTGATTTTGTTTCATTTTGTTTCTGTTTTTTTTTTCTGTGGTTGCTGCTTATGGGTTGCTTGTTGTTGCTGGTCATATCTAAAATCTTGAACATGACGCACCGGCGAAAATGTTGATTCACTTGTGCGTACTGTCTCTGTGTGTATGTTTGCCTTTTTCAAGAAACATAATTTTTTTTCAATCTCTCTCTCCCTCCGTTTCTGTTTTTGGTTGTCGTCGTGTTTTCGGTTGTGATCTGACGGATTGTTGTTTGACCGCGATGCTCACCAAATGTTTAGCTAAAAAAAAATTGGTTAATGCGCTTTGTGAACGCAGCAAAAATCAATCAATTACAAAACACTGGTATGTACACTGTACAGCATACATTTCTTGGTGCTTTTGCGTTGCACTCAACATACACATACTCCGCATCAACATGATCGTCGTCGTCATCGTCATCATCGTCGCAAAATTCATTCTTTTGCTGATTCTCGCGCATCCATTTCGCTCATCATCCATCCCGTATGTAGAAAGTAACGCATTTGTAACATAATAAATTTGTGGGTTCTTTTCTTCTTCTTCGTCGTCGTTGTTGCTGTTTTTTCTCTCTCAATCTCTTTGTGCATGGCCTTTACGTAGCGTATGTTTCATTTTTCCACTGTATTCATTACTCTTTCTTCAAAAACGGACCGATACGCGCGAAACACACAAAAACCACGAAGAATTTTTTCGATTTTCGACAGAATATAAATTATGATGATTTTTTTTTCGCTTGTTGTTGTTATGCTCTCGCTCTTTGCTCGTCTTGAATTCAGCATCTTTTTGTCGATGTGCCATTTTTGTTGTGTTCGGTACGTGTACATTGTTTTGCGTGTGAAGCGCGAAAATTTTCGGGAATTCGTCCACTCAGCTACAGTTGTTGTCGTCTGTCTTGGTCGCCTTGGTCGTCTTCGATGCCAGTGTACATTTTTGTGATATCTTTGCGATTTTGTTTTCGACACTGTTATCAGAATTGAGCAAGCACTGACAATCTGAATTGCGGCTGTAGCCCGCGTAAATGCGTATTCACTATTACCGAAACGAAAGCAGAAAAAAATTCGAAAAGAAACGAAAAGAAAGCCTCAGAACACTCAAGTCCAGTGGAGACATGTTTTATCATGTATAAATAAAATGTACTTAAAAGATGGTTTTTACCAAAACGCGAGCGCGCGCGCGCGGATATTATTTCATTTTAATTATATTATTTAATGTATTTTTCGGTTTTTGGTCGCACCGGTAAACGTGATGAGAAAGTTAATGGGCCGTATGTGTATTGTGTTGTGTGATTTCGTTTGTTGAACATTTTTATTCGTCGTTCTCACTCGATTTTATGGCCATTTCCCCCCGAATTGACTTTATTTTTTTTCGCTGCTCTGTCCTCTTCTTCTTTTTTGGCTGAGTATTTTGTAATTTGATAATTTGGCTCTCTGTGCGCTGTTTATTCTTTTTTTTTCGACTTATGTTTTGGCTTGTCTCACTCTCGGGACACTTCTGACTTTGAGATAAATCAACATTCGCTCATTTTCTCCTCGTATGAAACCAAATATGTTTGCATTATTATTGCAACAAAGAATCCTCTTGTACAATGTGCACATGTTATTCAAGCAATAGCCCATTTCAGCGAACATGAACCAAACGAACAAGCGCAAAAGAAGAAAAAACCAAGCGAAAACACGAAGAAAGCATCATCATTTTTGTCGCGCATTGCGCTTCGGAAATATATGAAGTTGCAAAGTCTATAGATCAAACAAGACCGAATAAATTGCCTGTTGAGATTACCAAAACGACATCACTTTTCGATGAGACATTCGGTGGTTGTCTGCTTTCCTCTCTCTCTCTCTCCCGTGCGCTCCGCTACCTATCTCATGTACTCTTGACTCGTTTTTGGCTCTGCCTGGACAAAAAGAAGAGAGAAAAAAATGCGAGCGCGCACACACAATATACACACATTTTTGAGCGTATTGTCAATAATTGGCTACGGCCACATTGATCTTCATGCATTTTAAATGCCTATGCTATCGCCAACTTTTTTATGATTGTTCATTTTCCTCATAAGAAATTCGGTGCACAGCTCAGCCACGGAGAAATACCGTTATAAAATATGCATTATGCTTTTAAATCATTTTAAGTGTTTTGTGCGAACCCAATTCAAGCTTCGCGTCTGTTCAAGCACGCTTATCTGAAAATGAATTCAGGAGTCAATTAAAATTTCCGCTGAATTGTTTTTAAATTCTTAATTTGAATACAGCTGTCCATGACAAGACATAAACAATAACACTTGAAAAAGCTTAGCTATCAATTTAAAAATGTTTAGATGTTAAGCACCTTATTATCTTACGATTCGATTATTTTATGTTTATGTTTAATTCTGAAGCACGTTACAAGTTCATTTCATATTTAGATAAGAAGCACGTAAATTATTATTTTTCTTAAAATCACGTATTGTATTTTGCTAAATCAGCATTTAATTAGTATAAATAGAGCTATAGAATAATAGTTTAATCAGTTCGAATTTGTAACTCAAACCGTTCATTCTAAAGGCAATAAAGTGAATATGAAATCTTATGTAAAGTGTTATTACTCTACACAGCAACAACAGAATGATCGTGAAAAATACACACGCAGCCTGATATTATTTAATATGTGGAGAAGTCTTTGTTTGCCAATGCATAGATCAATTGAACCACTAAAAATAAATGCCAATTTCTATCGAAATGTTCGCAAAGGTGGGACTTAAATCCATCATACGTCATCAATACATGGATTTGGATGATTTGGCCATTGTCATTCAAGAACAATGCAAGCGTGCCCCCGACATTTTCATACAAACTTCTCACTTCGACATTCACATTCGGATGAAAATCGAAGAAAAAGTTTGTTTGGAGAATAGAATTCATTGGTCTTTTTGCCATTTTGAAATTCATATTCGTTATCCATTGCTATCACACGGAAAAAATATTCAAAATAAAGGTGAAACGTGCAATACAATCTCCAATCATGAAGGTGAAACAGATTGCATCCCAAAATTATAATGGAACAAGAATGGCTTTAAAATAAAACTGGCACAGAGCGAAAATAAATG